CGTTCGTGACCTGTTCGTTGTCGTTCGTGACCTGTTCGTTGTCCCTCGTGACCTGTGTCGCACTCCACGTATTCCGTAGCTGCGAAGTCTCCTGACCCGGTTGCGCCTTAGAATCACCGAGCGAGATCGACCAACGCCATTTCCTCTTCTGGATCCTCCGCTACCTCATCCGTGAAACCAGCGCGCTCAAAACACGCCGCGACGGTTTTCCAACGCACGCACTTGACTGCCTCTTCCGTCCACAGGCACGCATCGAACACGGACACGTTGGTTTTGTTGTTTTTTTTTTGCCCACCGTCTTCGACATCCTTGATTACTTTGCGCAAAAAGCAGTTGTCGATTGTGCGTCTTCATGGTCTTAATGATCCCTTGATCCAGCGGTTGCAAGTGCGACGTCGTGTTGGGCGGGAAGAGAACCAGTTTGACGTTGCTAAATTCCATCGTTTGTCCCACTGCCGATTTCGGGAAGCTGACTGGCTAATCGGGACCGGGATTTGGCTGCCAGTTGCCGGAGACGGGAAGTGCTTGGTCCAGGAAGTCTAGGAAGTGCCTATCATAAGAAGTTGCACTGTATAACCATCACATCACCATTACCAGTCTAACAATAACCACTGCTTATTATAACCATCACATCACCATTACCACTATAACCACCACTCATTATAACCACCACACTACCATAACCATTACCATTATAGCTACTAATCCTAACAACCAGTATAAGTACCATTTCCATACACGCCTTTGCAGTACCAGCCTTTCCTGATGAGGGCGAAACCGTGCAAAAAAGATGGCAGCGTCGGCCTCGTCTACAAGGGGCAGCCGTGTCCTTCTGCGATGCTAGGTGAGAGAGAGAGGGAGGAGAGGGGAGGAGTGTGAGAGAGAAGGGAGAGTGTGAGAGAGGGAGGAGGGAGAGAGAGAGAGAGAGGAGAGAGAGAGAGAGAGAGGAGAGGAGGGAGGGAGGGGGAGTGTGAGAGAGAGGGAGGGAGAGAGAGCGAGAGAAGGAGGGAGAGTGTGAGAGAAGGAGGGAGGGAGAGGGAGAGAGAGAGAAATACAAATGCAAAATAAGAAATAGGGAGTAAATTGAGCTTTTGAAAATGTGCATAAAGATATGTCTCGTGTAATAAATGAATTAATAAAAGATTATATATAATGCAGGAAATTAAATGGTTTGAACATAAAATTATTCTATTGTAAATAGAAGTGTTGAATTAATTTATTCTTATTGAAAACAGCGATTATGAAGATTGATATTAAAAGTGATCCTTTGACTCAAAATTCTTATCGGCGAGTGTATTTTTTCTTAATTTTCTATTAAATTCTATTTATTCATTTATCTGTCAGTTAATTTGATTATTCATTGCACAGAGGGAGTGGTGATCGACCCGGAGCAGAGAAAAACATATGCTAATTACACTGGCTACTTGATCGACATCATCCAAACCCTCGCCAAAAGACTTAACTTCAAGTGAGATATCTTCAAGATATTGTTTAAGTGGTGATTTAGTGAATTTGCAAATAAGGTTATCTATAAAATCAAGATGATCATTCTTGATAGATAAAATTGCACCTACTTCGAAAGACAGCGAACGACCTAAGCCGAAGTCTGAGCCAATGCATCCCACTCGAACAAACATGGCGGCATTGAAAACACTCAAATTTTACCCCAAAAAATCGTTAAAACAAAGTGAATTATGAAGCCTCTAGGGATATATACGCATCCTTCTCTCATCCTACAGGGTAAACCTACAGATCCTACACCCAGACGAGGCAGAATTTGGCCTTGACGATGGTAATGGGACCTTCACAGGACTCGCTGGGTATCTCCAAACAAGGGTATGGTCAATTTTCGTATAATTCCTTTCTTCAAATATTTTTTTCTTTCACTGCATGGATTCTATTGTGATTTCATTTATCGGAACGTATTGCAAACAAAGGAATAAATGATTATTAGCAGTGATTTTCTTTATGTATGTGACGAACGCTTAAGAAAAAAAAGAACAGAAACAAAATTAACTAACAAATTAAAAATCAATAAACCAAAAATTGTTAGAACATTAACAATGTTCCGACCCCCCCAAATAATTCCAAAAATAATATCAACCTAAAGAAACAAAAACATTCCAAACACATAACACACACATACACACACACACACACACACACACACACACCACACACACACACACACACACACACACACACACACACACACCACACACACACACACACACACACACACACACACATATCTATATATATACATATACATACATATATACATATATATATATATATATATATATATATATATATATATATATATATATATATACATATCTGTGTGTGTGTGTGCATGTATGTATGTGTGTGTAAGACAAATACTAAATCCAAATGAACCATTATAAACAAAATATTTAATATAAACAAAGAAGTACACAAATCCTTTAATGGCGTCAAACAGACCAGGTATACACTAAATATATTTTCTTCCCAAACAGAAAGCCGACATCGCTCTGGCAGGCTTTTCTATGACACGAGAACGACTGCCCTTTATGGACTTCTCGGAACCTATAAGTGAGATCAAATTCCTTTTTCTGGGGACCTTTAAGTGGGATCAAATTCCTTTTCTCAGAACTTATAAGTAAAATCAAATTCCTTTTCTAAGAACCTGTAAGTAAAATCAAATTCCTTTTCAAAGAACCTGTAAGTAAAATCAAATTCCTTTTTCTCGGAACATATAAGTAAGATCAAATTCCATTATTTCTGCAAATCATAAGTTGAGATCAAATTCCTTTTTCTCAGAACCTATAACTGATATTATTTTTTTCTCAGAACCTATGAGTTAAATGAGATTCCCTTTCCTCATAACCTATGAGTGAGATCAAATTCCTTTTTTTCACAGATCATAAGTGAGATCAAATATCTTTTTGATAAGGTCTAATTCCTTTTTCTCAGAGTTTATAAGTAAGCTCAAATCCCAATTCTCAGAACTTATAAGTATGATCAAATTTCTTTTCTCAGAAACTATGAGATCGAATTCTATTTTTCCCAGAATTTATAAGAAAATCAAATTTCTTACAAAGTAATTTTCTTTTAATAATCTTCGGTTATTGGGTTTGATATAATTTGCCTGATGTAATTATAAGACATGTATATGTGTTTAGTTATGTGTTTCTGGTGTGTATTTTAATGGTTGTATTTCACTGTATCATTATATTTATGCTGTATTCTGAATTTATGTTTTTGTATTGAAATTTTATATTAACTTCAATGTTAGGACTGTTGTCAAAATATGTGACATGTAAAACCTACGTGTCCGTGTTATTATGATATATGTATATAAAATTAATATACCATTGATATAATACTTTTTTTCTCCCTCTCCCTCCCCCTCTCTCTTTCTATCGATCTATATTTATCTCTTTTCACATTCATCTCCCATTCTCCCACCCTCCTCTCCTCCCTCATCTACCCCTCCCTCTCCATCTCCTCCTTTCACAACCATCCCACCCGCCCCTCTCCATCATCCTTCCTTCTTCCACTTCCTTCTCCATCTCCCTTCTTCCTTCCCACCTCTTTCTCCATCTTCCTTCTTCCCTCCTTCCTCCACCTCTCCACCTCTTTTCTCCATCTCCCTTCTTCCTTTCCTCCCTCCTCTTTCTCCATCTCCCTTCTTCCTTTCCTCCATCTCCTCTCCTCTTTCTCCATCTCCCTTCTTCCCTCCACCTCCTCCCCATCTTTCTCCATCCCCTTCTTCCTTCCTTCCTCCTTCCATCTCTCTTCTTCCCTCTCTCCTCCATCCTCTCCATCCTTCCATCTCTTCTTCTCCCTCCCTCCACCTCCTCCCACCTCCTTCTTCATCTCCCTTCTTCCCTCCCTCCTCCTCCTCCTCGCACCTCTTTCTCTCCCCCCTCTCTTCTCCATCTCCCTTCTCCCTTCCTTCCTCCCATCTCCTTCTTCCCTCTCCTCCTCACTCTCCCATTCCTTCCTTCCTCCTCCTCCTCCTCCTCTCCTCCATCCTCCATCTCCTTCTTCCCTCCTCCCTCCCTCTCCTCCCATTTTCTCCATCCTTTTCTTCATCTCCCTCCATCTCCCTTCTTCCCTCCCTCCTCCACTCCTCCCCTCTTTCTCCATCTCCCTTCTTCCCTCCTCTCCTCCACCTCCTCACCACTCTTTCTCCATCCCTTCTTCCTTCACTCCCTCCCTCCCTCCTCCACCTCCTCTCCATCTCCCTTCTTCCTTCCTCCCTCCCTCCCTCTCCTCCTCCACCTCCTTCTCCATCTCCTTTTTCCTCCCCTCCTCTCCCCTCCTCCCACCTCTTTCTCCATCTCCCCTTCTTCCTTCATCCTCCTCCCTCCATCTCCCTTCTCCACCTCTCTCCCTTCACCCTCTCCTCCTTTCTCCCCTCCTCCTTCTCCTTCTCCCTTTCTCCTCCCCCTTCTTCTCCTTCTCCCTCCCCTCTCCACCTCTCACCTCTTTCTCCTCTCCTTCTCCTCCTCCCTCCTCCAACTCTTTCTCCATCTCCCTTTCCTCCTCCCTCCTCCCCTCACACCCCTCCATCCCATCTCATCTCTTCTTCCTTCCCTCCCTCTCCTCTATCTTCTCTTCTCTCTCCCTCCTCCTCCAACTCTTTCGTCTCCCTTCTTCCTCCCTCCTCTCCCCTCCTCCCTTCCCTCCACCTCTCCTCCACTCTTTCCTCCTCTCCTTCTCCCCTCCTCTCCTCCTCCTCTCTCCTCCCCTCCATCTCCCTTCTCCCCTCTCTCCTCCCTCCATCTCTTCCCCTCCTCCTCTCCCTCCTCTCCCTCCCTCCCTTCTTCTCTCCTCCCTCCCTCCCTCCAATCCCACCCTCACCACCCCTTCCTCTCCCTCCCCCAGTGTACGCCGGCCAGTCGTTGTACGTGAGCACGAACTCTTCCCTGCATACCATTGGCTGGGACACGTACGTTCTATCCTTCCAATGGGGCACTTGGTTAGCTATCCTCCTTCTCCTCATCATCATGACTTTTGGCCTGTGGTTCCTCGTGAGGAGACAGGAAGACGAGGACCCTCACTTCACCCATACTCACAATGTGGCGTTTATTCTCTTCTCTTGTCTCGTGCAGCAAGGTGAGTATAGTGAGTTAAAGGGGGGAGATAGATAGTGTAGGTGTAGGGTGAATATTTTTTTTTTTTTTTTTTTTTTTTTTTTTTTTTGCTAAAGTTTGCTAGACTACACTCAGAACGGGATGAATAACGGATGAGAATAAAACAATAAAACAGAAAGATACACACGAAATAAAGCGTTAAACAAACAACGGAGAATAAAACACGACATAAAACACAAAAAAAGACAAACAGTGAGTGAAATAAAAAATAAAAAAATAAATAAAAATCCGTATCTCTCTCACAGGTTCCTGGATCCTGCCCACCACAGGCCGCGCCCAAGCTGTCCTGTGGATGTTCTGGTTCACGTCTGTGGTTCTCTACGCGTCCTACACGGCCCGTCTGACGTCCTTCCTAACGGTGTCTTCTCTGAGACTCCCTTTCACCACC